ATAAGATACTACAGCACTAAAAAATATCATGAAGTAATTAGTAAAGTAAAGCATTTAGCCCCAGTAAACACTGCGTGGGTATGGGTTGTGGCCAGACTTGTTAAGATGAGATTGTTTTCATTATTATCTTGAGCTTATTTTTAACTTAATTTTTACTCAATGCAACAAACCAACAGTTGCTTAAAGCCAAGGGTTTTGTTCTGGCAGGAATTCTTCTTCTTCTTCATTCTTAATTGTTATATTGGAAGGGATTTCCTCCAACCCTATTAAATATTATGTGTCAACTTGTTATGCGCCATATTCCAGCCAGCTTTTCTTTTTGTATCTTTTTCCATAGCCTTTGTCCAACCAAGAACTAACTAAAAGTCAGCAACTGTTTTATTTTTTAGTTTTCTTTCCTAGATGAGTTGCTGTCCCGAGCTAACGAGCCTCATCTGCTTTGGGGTTCGAACTAGGGACCTCTCTGTTTAGAGACCATGAGCTAGCAAAACAACCATGCTGGATTCAAGGGGATGGGTTTAAAGGTAAAACTCCATTTAGCTTAATTTATTTTACTCTATGTTCAAAAATCAAAGTATACAATAAATTTTAAAATATATAAACACTTGTATAAATATTTGTCATTAATAATTTATAGTAATAATATTAATGAGCTGACCCACGACGTAGCATACGCCACTATTTAGTTGTTTTTCAGTAATTCTTATTTGTGTATTTGACTATACCAATGCTGTGACTGAAATATTTTGCTTTGAAACACTATCAGTAGCTAGTGAAGGACAATTATCCTCACCCTCACTTTCCACTCCACTTCCCCCGTTCTGCTTCCAAGAAAACAGCTGTTCGTCGTGACTACAATTTACAGACGCCAATGAAAAGAACAAGCAGAAATTATTATTACCTCCGCTTAGTTTCAAATTGTTTAAAAACTAAATTATCTGCCCCATAATAGCCCATAATAATTCGACCTGGCTCTACCATTGTAAACAGCTCACCAGACTGGTGGGGGTGGGGGTGGTAGCAATATGGTCTGTTGAGCTTATGTGGTTGTGGTATCCCAAATGGTTTGTCCATGAAGAGAATTATAAATATTGATATTAATGTAGTGTTAGTTAAGATTCATTAAATAATATCATATTCATGACATCTGATCAGATGTTAACAGATTCTGAAAAAAACAGATGTACTTACATGAGCTCTATGCAAAACAAATGGACTCTAAATGGCACTATTTATCACATTTTTCACTGAATGGAGTATTCAAAGATAAAAAGTAGTTTGTTTTGATTTGTAATTGCGTAAGACTGATGTTCAAACAAACTATCAGACCATAGAATATTTGTTATTTATTATCTACTTGCAGACTTACAGTATTCTAATTAAAATCAAAACAAAAGCTGGTCAAACTACGTCAAAGTTTATGTTTTAGGCCACCATATTAATTTAACTTCACTTTAAACATTAAACTAAAAAAATTATATATAATATGGAGTAGGCCCTTGTGTTATTTTTTTTATTTTGATGTCTTGATGTGTTTTAAGGGCATGGGCGGGTGTACTTTTCGTCATAAATCCACTAAATCATCGATTTCCCACTTTTACTTGATGTATACAGAATAACCATCGTTGAATCTAAAAATGACATTGTTATGACCCTGAAAACATTATTTATTTATGAAAAACCGGGTTCAAAGTAGTGTGTTCAGGGTAATTTGATCACTTTTTCGGTAAAAATAGCAATTTTTCGACCTAGAAAAGTACTATTAGATTTTGCGGAAGCCTAATGTGTTTCATATCAATGGAAAGGCCGTGACCTCCTTTCTTTATTTGTTCTAAAATTAAAGGACCGATCAAAATACCTATTTTAATGTGATTATTTTTATACGTCATAAAGTTATTTATTTTACTCATTCGGGTTTTTCCGGTATGCAAATTTTTGACCTCAATTTTTTCATTGGCATTCAACGGCGGAAGCTAGTTAGCGATTGGTCGTTTCGCTTCGGAAGTAAACATTCCCTTAGTTTCAGCGCGTTGCTAAGTTTGATCTAGTTTTGTTTCTCTAAGCTTCTGTGAAATATTTACATTATTTTAACATATAATTATTTAAATTGAATATACTATTAACAGTTTAGATTAGTTTGTGTGAATTATCATAAGCAGTGAGACGATTTAGTTTGTTTCTCTTTCGATAATGGGTAGAACAAAACACTCGCTAAAAATAGATACACACATCTAACGAATTTACTAAAGCAAGGGCACGTCCGAATGCAACTGATTGCATCTAGAGTCTACCTCTACTCAATCTAGCACTATTCAGACAAGCACTGGTGCATATGTAATATGCACATTTACTAAGAAACTGCGGCAATGTAAGACAGTTTTTACAGACAGAAGAAAGCACTGTTACATCTAGTATGGTAGTAAACAACAGCCATGCAGAATTATTGTCGACTGTGATTTGCTTCTTGATGTTATCAATACATTTCCTTGCCAAGAGTGTAACTGTGATGTAGTGGCTACTATTGGTGAAAAAAGTGTAAAGGGTTTGCTTCAAGCATGGTGTGGCAGTAATAAAAATGTTGTAAACCGTAAGTATACAACTGCAAAAGAATCCACAACAAGGCCATTCACAATAAACAAAGACATCGTCTTATCATAATTGGCTTTAGACACGAGACCATGCAAAATATACTGCTGTTTCTGCGATAGCATAATTCAGTATTGGGCCCATGCATGCTATGGCATTGCTGTCAAAAGAAGGAAACCATAGTCAAAGACTCAGTGAAGGACGCCAAAAAAGACGCCTTCGCAACAGCTTTACTACAGCTCTAGGTAAAACAAAGAAAGCCAGAAAAAAGGAAACTAACAGCTGAACAAGCTCAGAAGGAATATATTCAGCAGCACCATACTTCAGGCAATAAATGTGGTCAATTTTAGTGACATACAGCTGTAAATTTTCTTTTTTTGCAACTTTTTGTTGGTTTTTTGCGTTTTTTTCAGTTTGATACTTTTGTGAACAATTATTGAAATAACTTTGTTAATAATTATCAGAACTGAACTAAATTTTTTCCAGTTACTCTGTATATATGTTCAAATAAAACGTATTGAACACTTTTGGAAATTTAAAAAAAAAAAATTTTTTATTGTTGAAATAGTGAAAAAATTGGACGAAATAATGAAATTTTTACAGTGATGTATGGGAAAAAAAAGTAAAAAATAAACTATCTTCTTTTTTGAAAATGTAATCAATAGGAAGTGTTAAACACATGTGTCTCCAGAATGTATTAAGTTTTTATGAAATTTGTACAAACCATTTTTGAGTTATTTCCATTTAAAAATCGTCAATAAAATCCAATATGGCCGCCGTCACCATGGCAACGGAGGATTTAAAAAATATTTTTATGCTTATCTCTTTGAGTTATAACTATTAGCCAAGTATTACATCTTTAGACTCGGAAATAAGGAAGTTGGTACTCATCACCCGCCCATGCCCTTAATAAAATACACAAAATACACAAAATGAAGGTGAATGTAAACCATTGAATAAATTAATCTGAAAATTTACCAAGTCTAATTGATATTTAGTAATTAGATCTATATAGATCTAGTACTAAAGTAGGCCTAAGCCCTAGCGTAAGCCTAATTAATTATCAACTTGAGGAGTATTGGGCTAAATATCATTAGTTCTTTGATGATCCTTAACACCCTCCTTTCTTCATTTACACATCTTCACAAAAAGCCAGCCCTCACCCCCACTAACACAAAATGATGACACATCTCAGCCTACAACTTCCTCAAAATTGCAGGCTAATTATTATTTAATATTTAGCCTACTTACTACTACTACTACTAGATCTGCTCCTTTTAACACTTAACAGCTGATCTTTAACTTAACACTAACAGAACAGTTAGTGGGTTCACTGTGAGTTCACATTGACTTTAATTATCAGCATATGTCATAGCTCGGGCAATAGCTGTTTGAAATTGTGTTGGCCTCAGTTTTGGGGTCATTGTAAGTTCATAAATGTTTATTTTTATAGTATATTGCCTGGGAAATACTTATAACAGTACAAACTTAACCGCCTTGCAATTGTGAGTTACGTTTTTAAGTACTTCACCCATTGCGATGAAAATTCTAACTGATACATGAACATAGCACATTCAATATTCTAAATTTGGATTTTTCTCAAGTTTTGACAAAAGTAAATTATCAAAATCTAAAACAAAGTCAGTCTCTTTGTTTTTTTTAATTAATTTGTTAAAACAAAATTACAATACTCAATAGGGGCCTACAAATAAATAAATCGTGTTTTCATAATGTTTTGGTGTGTTTCGGTTATTATTATAAACTCAACTGGAGGTAAACATGAAGCGGAGAATAAAATAAGCTAAAATGGAGTTTTGCCTGAAGATTCCTAGTCTATGCTTCTAGACTAGAGATCTAGATCTAGATTCTAGATCTAACTATCTAGAATCTAGATTAATAGATTTAGAATTTTTTTAGATCTAGGAATCTAGAATTCTAGATCTAGATTTCTAGATCTACTTGTCTTACTTATATATTATATAATACTTAGCTACTTAGAATTATAATAATACTTCTTACTTACATAAAAACTTGTTGCAACTAGATCTACATTTAGATCTAGATAGATCTATGTAAATTAATGAATTAATTTTATTGTTTAAGTTATCGATGTGTTCGTTTTATTTCTAAGGAATGACAAAACATTTCTCTAAGGATAACAGGAAGTTTTCAGGGGAAGGCATTCAGTATAACAAGAGTAACACTAGTAACAGCTGGTCGTACATTTTTGGAAAAAAACCGCAATAATTATTATTAACATTGCGAATTAGAATGTGAAATTAAAATATTCGTATATAAGTAAAAGAGATAAAACAATGTGTGTGTTTTTATAAAGTTAATTCAATGAAAATATGTCTAATGTTTGTTGCAATAATGGAATCTCAACTTTTCAGGTTATTTTCGGTAAAAACCGGCTTAAATTCAAGAACGACAACTCAACTGCGCATTGCAAATTGCATTGATTTCTCGCTTTCCAGACTACTCAGAGGATCAGACGATACGTTTCTAGCCAGTTCATTCAAGCTCTACATTATCTAATCAAAATGGAGACTGCTCAACGTTGGATCCCACTAGAATCAAACCCCAAAGTACGTTTTATTTGTTGTTCAGATAAAGCTTTTTAACAGATGATTAATATTTATATTAGAATAATCCAGATTAATCTAGATCTAGATCTAGATCTAGATTTCTAATTTCTAGAATCTAGAATTTCAAGCACCGGTGCTTTTTAATTTTTACTTTATTGGATTTCGTATTTTTTCGCCGGTCGATCTCTAAAATATTCTCTATAGACTCTAGATCTAGAATCTAGATCTAGATCTAGATTATCTAGATCTAAATGATGTAGACATGATTTTTTTTTTAAATTATCTAGATCTAGGCCTAGATTAAAGTAGATTTAGATTATTTATTATTTAGATTCTAGATCTAGAATCTAGTATTCTAGATAGATCTAGGGGATAAAGTATGGACGTTTTTTATTCAGTTGTCATGTTTAAATTGAGAATTGAGTAGATTTCACATATAGTAAGAAAAACTAATATATATTATTGGTAATCTATCGTTTTAGGTAGGCTACGTAAAATCGCCCGCGATTAGTAATGTGAAAAACAGGTGACTCCTTACATTTTAATAATTATTTCACATTTTGAGGAGGATTTATGTTTTAAAAAATACAAAAATGTTTCCTTGTTTCATTTATGTACCTGTTTTTAAACAATTGAATTAAAACTTTTCAGTAATAAATGAACACCAGCGATGTTTCCAACAGATGCAACTATGCTCATTTACTATAGCAGCCATCTTGTTAAAGTTTTATTTTTATAGACTTAAAGAGCGAGACTCAGGCGGAAGTCACTCTATTTTACAAATGGCTGCTGTTTATATAGCAAATTTTGCTTGCAGACACTGCTGTTTAAAGTTAATTTCTGGCCTATATTGATATATTTAGCCATTGATTTAGATTTATTATTCATTTATCTATAATATTTGACACAAACATATCACAATATACTTCTATTACAGCCTTGACAATGAGGTAACGTTATCGTACATTAATAGCCGCGGGCGATTTTACGTACCCAAAACGATAGATTACCATATTATTATATATAGATCTAGGCACTAAATAAAATTAATTAGTATAATTAGGCCTACTAACTAAAATGAACTAATTTTGTATTTTTTCTTTACTTTCAGGTGCTGAACAAGGTAAAAAAAAACATTTGGGTGTTTTTAAAGGACTTAGAATTAGATTAGATCTAGAATCTAGTCTAGATCTAGATCTAGCAGCCTAAGCCGCGCCTTAGCCTTAGCTTAGAATTTAGATCTAGAATCTATCTAGTCTTTCTTGAGCCTATAGTATAGACTATAGACCTACTTTAGACAGATCTAAATTTTGATTTTAGAGCATGAGTTACAAATTCTTCCTCAAGCTATTAAAAATTTCGAGTAGATCTAGATCTAGGGCCATTTTGAGTATTTGTATTTTGTATAGGGATGTCTGACAATGGAAATGTCCAAAAACCTGTACCCCCTCCCTGATGTATTATACAGGTTTCATTAGCCCATGTCAGTTCTAGATCTAGTTCTAGCTGGAGATTGTTATTACAGATCTAAACCAAAAAAAAATGTTCTACTTGTAGGTTTTATGAGTTAAGATAGCTTAACAAGACTGGGCTAGCTGCAAACTGCCAGCATATAAAAATATTTTAATTAAACTAGTTTAATATCCCAGCACTGTTTTGGTCAGTCTTAGTCTTATCTCTTAATAAAAGTAATTATTGTTTAAAATTTACAAGTGAAATATACATTTTTATACAGCCTAGAATGTTTCCCTTTTAATATCTGAGGAAGAATGAATCATTTTCATTACAGTATCAGACAACTGACCTCCCCCAAAAGCAGTAGAATACTAAAATTGCCAAATACTATAGCATAGGTATAAATGGATTTTTGTTTTCCCACAATAAATTTTACCCAAATGTGGGGGGCAGTATACAGCCTTACTTAGTTTTTAGGATGCTGTAAGGAAGATATAGGTATGTTTCTACAGTAGAAGTACACATTCCAGTATCTATACAAACATTGCCATTACTACGCTATATTTATAAATTTAGTGGCTGGTTTTATAAATATACTATTTTTAGTCTAAGTCAGTGTTATTCACCTAAAGGCTATATCCTCTATATTCACCTATTTCCCATTTATCTACTGTACTTTATAAAGTTGCAGGGTTTTTGGTTAAGAATTCATAATTTACAAATCCCTCAGTCAAAAGAAAATGTATGTTCAATATAAAATCAGTCATTTGTCATTATCTTTATTCAGATCTGGTTTATTTTGTGAAATCTTTTAAATCTATACATTCAGTATGTACACAACCTTGGCATGGACTCCAACTGGAATTTTGTTGATGTGTATGGTTTTGATGCAGAGCTTCTAGCTATGATCCCCAAGCCTGTTGCTGCTGTTGTTCTTCTGTTTCCTGATGCAAAAGTGAGTGCTAGAGAGTTTGAAATATTTGACATAATAATAAATAATAGGCCATAGTAACAAAAAAAAGGATCTGATCTCATTTATATTGTATCAAATCACATTAGTATATCTTAGTATAACTATAAAAGGCATTTCTACTTGATCATGAACAGGCTAGTGAGGTGATTGGAGAACTCCAGTCTGATTACCCTAAAGATTTGTACTACACCAAACAGACTATTGACAATGCCTGTGGAACTGTGGCTTTAGTGCATGCATTAGCTAACAACCAGGATCAGATAAACTTTGATGGTTTGTACATTTTTACTTTTGTAGCTGTCAATTTATTACAGAAATGGTGTAGGTGGACATATTGGGATTTTTAAAAATCTTAACTACACTTTTACTTCTTTTTATTTATAAATTTTATTGTACCTTCTTATAATAATATGGTCAGTTTATATTTTGTCCAGATACTAAACACTTCAAGACATTTCTTGAATTGACCAGCAGTTTAAACCCAGACGAGAGAGCAAAATTTTTAGAGGAAGACAATGTAAGATAATCTCACAAGTTCATGTCATTTTTATGTAATTTTGGAAGTAGAGCAAGCTTAACTTAATTTGTAATTTTACGTCATTACCAGAGTAGTCTGACAATACTTGCTATTGTATAAAAAGTGCAAATACTTTTTTATTTTACTTGCTAGAAAATGGGAGCTGCACATGATGACTGTGCTCAGGAAGGTGATACTCAGGTGAGTGCATACATTTAAGTTCACATTTTAAAGGCTATTTGCTCCTAAATGTATTGTTCTTCTATAATTTTGTATATACTTTTATCTTCTAGGCACCATCACTTGATGAAAAAGTGAAGTCCCATTTTGTTACCTTTGTTCATTTCAATGGAACACTGTACGAGTTAGGTGAGTAGCATCTAAACTGCTTCTGGGCATTTAGTTCATTCACCACGGTATAGTTTAACTGTATTTTCTTACTGTTGCCACTGTTGCTTGATATTTATTTTCACTTTCACCAATTTTCTTGTAATTATTATATTTATACTTTTACTTATTTAGTGCACTACATTTTTACCCATTTAGTAGCTAAAGTGTTGGTCAGTGGGTAGTACTAGTTATTTTTATAAAATATTTTTAGATGAAAAATAATCCTTTTCCTGAAAATTGTCTAAGGATAGTTTCATGCTTTTAGGGATTAGATATTTAAGACTAAATGGATTTGATTGATGACATTTAACAAAGACCACTCATATTTTAATTAATTAATGTTTCTGTAGATGGTAGAAAAGATGCTCCAGTTGTTCATGGTAAAACAACACCTGAGACATTCCTGGAGGTGAGAGCAATTTTTTAATGTTTCGTAATTTAAAATATTTAGGTGGTTAGTTGTTTTTTTTTAATTTATTATAACTTAAAGCCACTAATAGTTGATTTGTTGCCTTTCTGGAGTAAGCCTATGTTGTTTCATAGTAACTTTTGTGATAATTTCCAAGGAAACTGTTGAAGTTGTCAAGAAGTTTATGGCACGTGAACCTGAAAATGTCAACTTCAATGTGATGGCTTTGGCCAAAGGCAGTTTGGAAGATTGAGATTGTCCTCTGACAACATGAGACACCCTGTAGATGAAGCTGGAATTGCTTTCATCAGTATTAATAATACAAATGCTTATTTGGTTTTAAGTGCCATGCTTGAATTCTAATGTTAATTTATTTTTTATTCAGTTCTAGCTTTAATAGTTGTTAAAAATCTTTATGATAAAGGGCTTTAATTTTAATAAGATAAAAATTTTGCAAGTGGCATGATTAAATGTTTAGATTGGTTCCCTGGGCTTTAGGTATGCTTTTTGCATTTTCCAATCTACCTTGTTTAAAACATTAGTTTATGAAGATAGCTTAGTTTTACAGTTGGCACCCATCGTTATTAATAAAACTAAAAAAAAAAATTGATCTTCAACATACTGCCTTGTTCAGGATCTAAAACATGGAGCAAAATGTGAATGAATTCCACCGTTGCAGCTTGCAATGCAAGGTGTACACACAAGTTCTTTTTAAAAGTTAATCTAATTGCATCATACCTTTATATTTTAAGAAAGAATATCCTGTAAATCTACTGCAAAGATATTCTATATTTTATACTTAGGTCATTCATGCTTGTTGTGTACATACTTGATTTTCTTTAACCTAAACATGGAAACTGTATTGGGTTTTAATAAACAAAATTTTCCTGGGAAAAATAAAGTAGTGAACAATATTTTATACTTTTTAGTTGAGTCAGCCTGAAATTAACATGCTATTGTTTTTCTTCTGAAAGGATCAATTTATTAAAAAAATATTAACTTGGCTGTCCTGTATGCACCAAACGTGCACTTGTTAGTTCAGCTCTATGGGGCATATTGGTTTTAAAATAACTTAATAGCAATTAAATGTTTCTTGTACAACCACATTTTTTAAATTGCCTCAACTTACCAGATATGTGTTGAATTGCTCAAGATGCCAGTACAGTATAAATATGCTTGCTGTTCTACTTAAAAGGTTGTGTTGATCTATGTCAAAGTTCTTAACATTGTCACATTACTACCATTCATATTTGCAGTTACTGATTATTCGTATGAACCTGTTTGGTAAATATGTGCTTCTGTTTACTTTTACCAGTGTTATGAGAACTATGTGTGTGTTAGCTTTTATTGTTGGCAATAATTCTAGTCAACCTGTTGATTTGTACACCAACCGTAATCTGTTTTCAGCCACCAAGCCTCATTCTTTTGTCCCTCCTTCAACCTGGTTCATTTTTATTAATGGATAGGACGTTTATTTTGTAGCAAATAATTGACACATTCCATATATTTGATCCATATATTTGAGTAGATGATTCACACTGCTATTGTTTTGATGCTAAGTACTTTGTCTTGGCCACTTACTTTCAACATCCTCCAGCTGGTGTTGTTTTTGCTATGGTTGTTTTGTTTTGCAAGTTAAATAAACTGTTCACAATAATTGTTGGTTGGCTTATCTCATTCATATTTGTGGTTGTTTATTTTATTTTTTTAAACAATTGATATCCAGTGGAATTAAACTGTAGCTAGACCAAACGTGTCCAGAAGTTTATCATGTAGTTTCCTGTGATAATACTAATGTTCAAAACTGTTCCCACAAACGGTGATAACTTCCAGTAATTAATGTTTAAAAAATGTTATTTTAACATACAAAAAGAAATTCAATGTTCCCTCATTCTTTTTCAACATGTAACTAACCAATTGTGGGTTATCTGTATTAGACTTTGTAAACACAAACTTTAAGACCCATTAGTCTTAGATCGTGTGCTTTTTGCTGGTATTTTTTATATAGTTTCCTGACAAACACTGCCTTAGAATAAGTTTAGATACTTGGAACAAAAAAACATGAATAAATACCCAATTTTTAGCACTAATAGATGATCAGTTTTACTTCAGGCTTTTTGCTCAGGTGTAAGGTAACCCAGGCATTAACAAAACACTAATTGCATTTTTTTAATGTTGGAATAAATAGACAAATATCAGATAATATTTAAGAAACAAGTGTTGGTGGGTCATGTAAACCTAAAATAGCACTCCTTAGCAAAACCTGAAATGAAAAGCAGCAAACACATTATTACTGTATTTTGATATCATTTGAATTTCCCGAAGGGGAATATATGTTGTAACTATTACTATGATTGGACGTCTTCCCTTAAAAATATCAATTGAGTAGTTTCCCTTCGTCATAGAAAATCAGTTATTTTGGATCGTTATTAGAATATTAGATTGATATATTAATTCTTTTATAGATTTTTTTTAAATGTAAGTAAAATACAGTTTCAAAAATACCTATCTTAAATGCAAGTGGGAACACCACACTTTCTAAACTTTGCCTCTTCCTTTGTGTTGATGTTATCCTGTTCGTATAAAAACGTGACGATTTTTAAATAAGGTTTACTTCGCAAACTCACCCTTTTCTATCGCCACAAAGATTCTTCTCCCAGCCCCCCCCCCCCCCCCTATGATGTCAGCCTACCACCCACAAGTCTCAGTGTTGTAAACGGCCATTTCTTTATGTAATATTAACTGAGCTTGTGTAACAAACATTAAGTATATGGAAACAATTTTAAGATAAATGTACAAACATTGCGAAATAAAAAAAGATGGTACTATTGTGGCGATAACCATTTTAAAAATATGTAAATATGGTATATATTCTGCAACTCACACATCCGTCAACCCATCCCCCCCCCCCCCCCCCCCCCCTCACAACGCTGTTCTCCCTATCCCTTATTGAGAATATCAGGAATAGGGGAGGTAGTCATACATTGAAGTAGAATTCAGTTATTTTTGTTATTACATCCCTTAGCATAAAATACAATAATTTTGGGTAGAGTTACGCAATTTCGTAAGAAAGAATAGTAAAAAAAATTGTTTAAAATAATTATATTAAAACGATACTGACCTGTATTTAGTTCGATTCTGACTTTGGGAAATCTATCTATGCTATTGTCAGTATCATGGTGGCCACTTTTCAGCGCCCTGTGTGGCAGCCATACCCCCCCCCCCTCCACTTGCTAACTACGCCTTTGGGTTATTTTCACTCCAAAGCTGTTTGGACGCTGTGAACTTTTCCACCAAACCTTCGACGTGATTTAGTGTTTACGTTGTTGATTGTTAATAGACTGGGTGTACTTTAGTTTTGATTACCGATCATATGTTGTCGTTACGTGTTGTTGCCTTGGGTTACCGGTATGCGACCATTGCAGACAACATACTGTGTAATAGTACATAACACGGTAAATGTGCTGGTATGTTCACGGTAAGTATAGTAGATTGAGTACCAATACTGCCTTACAGTAGTTCCCATAACAGGAAGTTTATATGCATAGGCGTAGCAACCCTTCCCGGTTTGGCGCCCCCCCCCCCCCCCCTATATTTTAAAAAAATTTATAATGCAAAACTGCAGCTAAAATGAGCTTTTAATTTTTTTCCAACCCATTTTGGCGCCCCCTAGGATGGCTCCCGTGACATATGTACCCCCCACCCCTCGCTACGCCTCTGTCTATATGGTTTAGTTTGTGTACCACAGTAAATTAAATAGTGCATTCTTTATTCGATTTACAGGTAAAACTTGGATAAAGTATATCATAAAGTAAGTTAAGTTCCCTTTCCGAACCTGACGGTTCGTCCAAGGGGGCAAGTTAAGTAGAGTTCATCTGTTTCTGTGATCTCGGCATATGAAGGGATATTGTGGTCAGCACTATGCCCAGCCGCCTTTACTTTCCCTAGCGTGAGTTAGGTACCCATCAGAGCAGGGTAAACTCATGGACGTTCTTCTGGTTGGAACCCGGATTGGAACTCGATACTTTCGGGTTAGCAGTCGAAAGCTCTACCGCTAGGCCACTCCGTCCCCCAAAGTATAATATGTTGCTTGTTAAAGGGGAATAATCAAATAGGCCGTTTCCAAACTTGGAATCTAATATTTATTTGTATCGTCAACTTCCCGTTTATAAATTTAAAATTAATCAAGGGAATTAACCCATCGCTAGGCTCTCAAAAGCGATAAAACTACAGAACCTTCAACTGTGATCAATAATAAAGCAGATTATTGTTTATTCATATTTTGCAAACTACGTAGTAAAACAATTTATTTGATTTTTGTTAGAATTAAATATTCATTAAAATTTGTAGAACTATCATTTAACATGAGTTTTAATAGACAACCCTTAACATACTTTAATTCAAAAACGTTCTATAAATTTATGAAATTTCATTTACCTACATTCCAACTCGCACGAAAACGTTGCTATTAACGAAAGTTTTTGCTTTGAAAAAAAAATGTAAGGGTAGTTGCCAACATTAAGGTATATTGCCGCTGTTCAGTGTAGCAACCACCATAAGAAACGATTATTCCTACGCAGATCTCTAACCATCGATTAACCTACTAAAACAAAAAAGTACAAGAAAGGAATCAAATTACATGCGTTCTCAAAAACACCTAACCTAACTCAATCGCTCAAAAAAAAGTAAACAATTGTAATAAGTTTGTTTTCGTACTGTAGGCCCTATGTGTAAGAAAAGTGCATACATGCAGTGGCGTAGCGAGGTCGGGTGTCACCCGGTGCGTAGCGACCCTTCCCGGGGACAAACTTTCAAGTTTTCGATTTGCCACCCTCCCCCCCCCCTCTCAAACTTTCGATTTGCACCCCCCCCCCCTCAAGTTTCCTATTTGCACCCCCCCCCCTTCAACCTTTCGATTTTGCACCCCCCCCCCCCTCAAGTTTTTTCTCTATATATTTTGCTATTTTTCGCCTTGGTGTCACCCCCCTAAATGGTGTCACCCGGTGCGGTCCGCACCCCCCGCCCCCCCCCCCCCTCCGCTACGCCCCTGAATACATGTAAACCCAACGCAAAAGTAAAATTTGTACATTTTTTGTCTCTGTATTAAACGTAACACTGTAACCATGTATAAATTGTATTATGCTTTGTAACAATGTATAATGTATGCTCCTGTAATTCGCTTTTCAATTAAACATTTATTTCTTTGTGACCTCTGAGGAGCAAAGGGCTACAGCCACATCTCAAAGCCTCATTCCCACCTCCTTCTTCTACTCCTCTTCTCCAAGATTTCCTTGACCGGCCCACCCTCCTCTTCCCCTAGGGATTCCAGGTGAACTTTTTCTTCGCGATATATTATCCCTCTTCCTTTCTCAGGGTATGCCCGCAGTGGTTTCTTCCAGACTTTTTTCTCCGGGGGGGGGGGCACTTGAAATCTTCGGGGGGGGGGGGGGGGGGGCGGTAAACTTTCTTCGGGGGGGCGGACACTGTCAAAAGTATATATTTTCTATATAAATTATATAAATTTCATTTCGTTCGGGGGGGGGGGGGGGGGCGGTAAAAATTTTTCGGGGGGGGGCTTCGTCCCCCCGAAGAGATGCCTGGATGAAACTCTGTATGCCCGTTACATCCCCATTCTCAGGCTTTAATGCCCCAGTCTATTGGCTTTTTTTTTTTGTTTACGGATAGTAAACTACACACATCTATAGAAATTATAACATTGTTTAGATTAATATATCTTATGTGTGTGTGTGGAGAGGGGGGGGGCGGTAAGGGCAATCAGTGTTTCTTCCAGGCTTTTTTCTCCGGGGGGAGGGGGGGCGCTTGAAATTTTTCGGGGGGGGGGGGGTGCGGACTAAAAAAATTTGGGGGGGGGGGCACTGCTAAAAGTATATATTTTCTATATAAATTCCATTTCTTTCACCCCCTCCCCCCCCCCCCCCCCCCCCCCACCCCCCGCCCTCCCCGAAGAGAACGATCACAGAACGACCGGTGTCTCGCTTAGATGAGCCGCCAGTTTATTTGACCCGCCTCTACCAGACTACGATGTGCAAACATTCGCATTATTTTATACCATGAAACTACACAAGTTTATACTACTGTACCGATCTTATATAGCACTACCAGGGATGGCTTTAGTGCATGTACATACAGCAGAATTAATTATTTATTTGCTAAAACCATTTGCCGACGATTTAGTACACCGCACACGTTTTTTTGAAGGCAAACACCGTTTTCCGCGGGTAGGTAATGTTTTGTAAAGTGCCACTGTACCCACGCTGGCGCTTTCGTTTAGTTTAGACTTCGCCCAAATTAAACCATGACGCAACGTAGAGATCTGTGTCTCGGTGACATTTTAGTTTTAAATCAAATGATGCAACCTTTGGGCAAGAACATGGGTTTCTTTCAGACATTTTGTCTCCAGGTTTGGGTGCACTTGAAACTTCGAAGGGGTGGGGGTGTCAATGGATAAAGTATATATTTTCGATTTATTTAGTTTTGAATACTTTTACTAGAATTTAAGAAGCGACCCACAATTTTCTTTGTAGTTATTTAGTGGTTCAATAGTGGCGTAGGAATAGACCCCTCGGTAGATACATAATGATACATAAAGGTTGAGCGGGGGGTGCAAAATCGAAAGTCTGAGCGGGGGGGGGGGGG